TTTTTTCCACTCTAAGGCTGTAACCTCAGAAATTAGTGTACGAAATGTTTCAACAGCTGCTTCAGGCGACTCAAATCGCTCACCACGCATCTTATTTTTAATGTTTGGGAACAAAAAGAAGTCATTAGGTGATAAATCAGATGAATACGGACAATGAGTCATCAATTCGACATTACTGGATAAAAAAGCAACGATTTGACGTGCTGTGTGACAGTTGACGTTGTCGTGATGAAGAATGATGCGATGATTTCGGTTTGTTCTACGCAATTCATTTATAACTTCTGGCAAACAAATTGCTGTATACCAATCAGTATTTACAGTCCTTCGATTCTCTAAAGCCACGGTTGTCACATGTCCGGTATAACTGAAGAAACAAGCAATCATTTGCTTGGCGTGAACGAACAACTTTTGTTGATTTCGGTTCATTTTGAAATACCCAAACAGTGGATTGTTGTTTACTTTCGGGCTCATACGAATAGATCCATGTTTCGTCCTCAGTAACGATGTTGTAGACCAAGTTTGACCGACTTCGGTTGAATTTCTTGAGCATTTCTTTGCTCCATTTAACACGAGCCTGTTTTTGAGCTTCGGTCAAATTGTGTTGGATCCAACGACTGCAAAGTTTCCGTACGCTCAAGTGATCATGCAAAATCGTATGTATTGCTTTCATGTCAATGCCTAAGGATGCCTGAATCTCGCGGTATGTTATATGCCGGTCTCACTCAATCATTTCACGCACAGCATCAACATTAGTGGCAACAACAGACGTGGATGGACGATCTTCACGGAATTCATCACTAAGAAAGGTACGTCCATGCTGGAATTCGGCAAACCAATTATAAACAGTCCTATTGGATAGTGCTTCATCCCCAAAAACCAAATGAAATCGATCGATGCATTGTTTCGGAGTTAGATTACATTTGTAATCGTAAAAAAATCATTGCCCGAAAATTTTCACGCGAAATTTCCATTTTCTTACAAAGTTGGCTTGGGTACAAACTGTCAATTGAATTATAAGTTAAAAACGTCTAATTTTACGGATCTGATAGTAGCAGAATGTTGGCGCCACTGGAAGTACTAGATTGCAGAAACTTTTCCAGCAGCCTACGTATATGAATGCATACGATATATTGATGTAGTAGTATATAAAGATACGTCGATGTGCCACATTTTAAAATATACAAAATAATAAAACAGCGATCTTATAGGAGTTTGGGCTCTACATGTCTTAATTACAGTCTTAGAATATAAACCAGTCACAGACCCGTATTAACATTTAAATATTACTTAGTCTTGAAATATAAAAAGTGGATTATGAATACAGGCTTTAAATACTTTTGATATATTTGCACTGTTAATGAATTTTTTTTAGTATGAGATACTCACAAAGCTCGCGTTTCACGACTATTTTCTCCGGTCTGAAACAAAAGGACGAATTTCTGCGTGATTTCTTTTAAATTAATCATTAACGTTTGTCTTCGTAACAATTTTACTTACGTGATGCTGCAAACAAGCAGTATCGAATTCCCGTTGTAATATAACATCGATCTCGTTGCATGCTTCGCTCGTGAGAAATGCGTCACAAATCTTTTGGGCAATTTTTCCGCTACCGTCCGAGCCGCTAGGTGCGATTGCTAGAGTCGCCATCAGAAAATCGGCCGGATTATAATTGCATGGACACTCGTATCCTTGACTATGGATGACAACGGTAATGACAGTCAATGATTCAATCCAATATATTCAGAATGCGGCTTCTTTCAAAGAATGATTGATAAAAAAAATTCTCATGTCAAAATATTTTTTATAAATTTGTAATATTTTAAATTTATGTATTTTTTATTTCTGAAAAATACTTTTTAAATTTCTTCAGATTTTATAAGTTTTCTTTGGAAATTACAGAATGAGAAATTTCAGAATATTTCAAAATTTATATATATATAGGGTGTTTCTTCATATATGCTCCAAACTGCTACAGCGGCTTCAGCATATGGAAACAAATCTAATAAACATATGTCCGAACGGTTTCGCAGTTACGGGATATTAAAATAAGAAAACATGAATCGAAATAAATGTTGTTTAATGTCCTTTATTCTTTCGTTTTGATTCCTGAATCTTATTGTGATAGACTATCGTTAGATTTTTTTATTCGTTCTCAAAACGAGATTCAGAATTCAGAACAATTTAATATTACCGATATTATCCGTAAAACTTCAAATATTTTTCAAAAAGTCCGAAACAATTTATTAATTTGTGCTAGAAAGTGTGTCGATGTTGATGAAGAAATTTTTTAAAAGAAATTTATCTTTTGTAAAGCACTCTGGAGGAAAAAAATGTTTACGAAAAAGTACATAGATTGTGAGATAAGATTTTAGAAATTTTTAATTTTTCCTAGCTACTTGTAGTAGGATGTAGAGAGTTTGCTTGTCTTAGAAATTAGTTTTTCGTAAATATTCGTAGTGGAACATAGAGTGTCATTGTTAGAGAGCAAATTTCTTGTTTTTTTCAAAGAAACAACGTCACTTTATATTCCTCCACGAATATGTGCGAAAAATTAAGAATTTCTAAAGATCTTGTCTCAATCTATGTAGTTTTTCGTAAAATTTTTCCACCAGGGCATTAAATAGAATAACAAACATTAATTAAATAACAATGTATTACGATGTTTTCTTACTTCAATATTCTATTGTATAACTCCCATATTTTATATACACATATATATACTCGTGTGTATATATATATAGTATATATTCCCTTTATATACTTTAATTAAGATTAAGTGAGACAATTAGAGTGAAATAGTACATATACAAGCAGAAAGTATATAGCTATATCTTTCTCTCTCGTAGAATTTTGATAAAATCATTCGTGGCTAGATATTCTTTTATAGGAAGACTGATATTGTGTATTTTACATACCAATTTATTGTCAATAAAATTATGATTT